TGTATTATATAGGTGGAGAGAGAAAAAAAAGATAATATCACAGTCCCGACAAATTCTTGCCACAGGTACCTCCTATATACCGTATTATACGTTTCAAGTAACCTGAGGTGTCTAAATAACATACACCTATACATACATAGATGTGAACATACATATGATTAATTAGTCAACGTTTCTCGAGCGAATTCAATTCCCGATATATTAGTGGGTGCCGGTTCAGTTTCATTACAACAAGAATACCATGGTAAATGTAAAGAAAAAGAAAACCACATAAACGATATAATATTATAATAATTTATATTTTGATTATTATACGGGAAGTTTTTCAAAATTACTATACGTATACACTATATATTATTATATAGGTGCTCGAGTTTAACGAGTTTTTCAAAATGTATTTTCAATCATACATTTGCATGTGATGTCGGGTATACACAATTTTGAAAATTCAAACTAGGATTTTTAAAACATTTACACGGCTCTCCACTTTTGTGTACAACTGTACCAGCAGTAAACCGTTGTTAATCGTTATAGATTAACGCGACAATTTGATTTAACTGCGGCGGTATAATCCGGACCGTGTATTGTAATAGTACGTACCATTCTACCAGTACGAATACGGGGTGCGTGTAGGTGGGAATGTGGGATCTTTAACGTCCGTCCGTTATAAGCGCGGATATTGTTTTTAACTTGTAATATTCTTAAATTGTTCAGGCGTTCTGCTGTTAAGCGTGTCTTAAGTAATTAAATTTTTATTGAAGATCATATTATTATAACGCTATTATAATATAACATTCCGTCGAAGTACAAAGACCGACTGTTGAGCTCTCGTCGGATTTCTCTAGTTATTTTACCGTGACATTAAAGTAATAATATAATAATATTGTTTATTTAAACGCGGTAATATTGTGTTATGATACATTTAATATACCCACCAGAATTAAAATAAAAATATTTGTTTATACACTTTTCACGACACTGTTTTATCAATAATTTTCAAGACATCGAATTGGGAAACAACACGTCTAAAATTTTAATTTGGTATAAGGAGCATTTTTAAATGTCTATTATAATACGACTATACGTATAACCTTTTAGGCGTGTTTATATTATTGTTGTCTCTAAAAAATGATAATTAAATTGCAAAAAATGTACATCACGGTTCATTCTAAAATAATAGTTATCTGCTTTAAAGTATATTGTGTCCTGGCCACAGAAATCTGCACATCATTGGTGGATTCACGGAAGGGGTCCAAGGATTTTGAACCCCCCAGATACCGAAAAATATTAATAAAATGTCGTCCAAAAAAGAAGCATCTATGAATAGGTATGATTTTTCAGGACCCCTCCTAGAAAATTGCTGAAAATCTGCTAATGCTACATATAACCGTGGTACTGACCACATGTATGTCTGATTACTTATTATAGAAAACAATTTGACCAAATCTCTCACAATACATAGTTTTTACTTACTACTTACGTCCTAAACTTCCACTTCACCCGATCTCACGCATTATTTTCGCATACGCTAGACATTTTAACAACATTCTCAACGGCATTCAACAATCCAACCACCTTTTTTTCGGTCTTTCTCTTCTTCTATCTCCACTACGTTTATTTCCATTGCCATTTTACTGTTTCTTACTGTTCTCTCTTCAAAACATGTATCCAAGCCATCCCAATCTATTTTCTCTTATTTTTTCCATCATCGAAGCCATATATGTACTACCTATTATATATACATAACGTACGTCATACGAGGTATACTCGTTCCTTATCCTATCTTTCTCGTCATTTCACTTATTCACCTATGAACACTTGTTCTCTATTCTATTTTTCTGTCTACCACCCAGCACTCCAAACCATACAACATAATCTGTCTCACCACACTCTTATAGAACTTACCTCATTAAAATTTTCTTGTCACATAAAATACTCGTTTTGATTTAACTAACTTGACATAGGTACATTATAAATTTGTTAACGGTAACGTATAAGGAAAAGAATTTATATACCTAAAGGTATGCAATTTTAATGAATTTGAGGTTTTTTAATTTTATTTTGAATAATATTTGTTGTGATTTAGTTGGATCAACATGTTTTAAAACTTTCATCTGGCAGCGTTATATACATATTATGTAACTTAATGGGCGGCTCTATTAATCAATCGTTTATAAGATTTGCTCAACAGTATGCTGTTAAACAAAAAATGTACATTTTTTGTTTTAACTGTAACATATTTGGTTTCAAAGTTAAATTATCTGATAAATTATAAAAACAATTTGATTGTCCATATTTCGTTACCAACTTATCTATAGAACCACTAGAACACATGATTTCAATTTTTAAATTCCTAATCTTAGAACCCATTTCCTCTTGACCTTCGAAATATGAGGAATGCACAGTGTATGTACCTACTTAAATTTATCGTAGACAGATTAATGTGTCGTAAATGGTAAGTGTTTTTTATTCTCTCACCCCCAAAAACAATTTCGGAAATTGAACACAGAAACACAAAAATAATACAACCTTAAGAAATATGAACAAACCTCTTCCACTCGATACTGTCATAATATTTATAATTTGCAAAGAATTAAATATAGTAAATTACGATAGACTGTATTATAATACAAAATAATACGGTTTTCGAGCTTTAATTTAGGAACGTAAATAAATCTTAGTATAATATATATATATATAAATAATAAAACGATAATCCACAAGCACTTCTTGTTATTATAAGCGACAATATTTAACAAATATACCTACTACTTGAGTGATATTATATACCTAGGTACAAAAATCTATAATAATTTAATAAAAAAATGATAATCTGACTCGTTATTCAACAAATACAACACACATATAAATATATATATTAATTATTAGTTTATTTTTTTTCATTTTTACGATAGCAACTGTAAACAATATTACGTAATGCGTGTATTATAATTTACAAATAATGAACGACTCTGATGAAAAGGATGTAGGTGAATGGATATACTATAGCAATGTGTATAGTGTATACAACTATACGAGTTCAATCGACTGCTAACATAAAATAAAACAATAATTAAATATTAAGTAGTAGTGTTAACGAAGTGTTCTACGTATCATAATATTTTTGATAATTGTGAATTATATTTGAAAAAAAAAAAAAAATTATAAAATGGTCTTACGCAACTAGAATTTTGGAGTACCAATCGTTATGAATAATTATACCTTCTACTGATTATGGACATAATAAATACCTACTAACTAATAAAAATAAAAGCTACGGGTTCGATTTAAGTTCAGATGATAATATTTTAAGAACTCACTATTCGCAGCAAAACTATTAGATATAAAAATGTAATATTATTATTGGCCGTCAACAACGCGAACATTATTACAACGAATGCAGTGTTCAGTAGTGATTTGCTGCAACAGACCAATTTACCGTACGTGCAAAAAAAAAAAACAACTGATAAGACTAATCGTGTTATTACAAAACGTCGGGTACCCTTATCAGCCCGGTCAATTAATATTTAATACTTCGACTATTTACTATAAACGACGATAATATTATTATTATGAATATTTTTTAGGTAAACAGTACGATATTCGTGATAATAAGTGACTTACGCAGTATTCTTCCGGTGTTTTCCGCTATAAATTCCCCATATTTTGCATTATAAAATCCGGAATCCGTGTTGTTTAACGACCGCCGGGACGAACTACCGTACGTAATCCCTCGCGCGTTTGTAATCAACAGGTAGACTTTCCGTTCGGCGGCGATCCGCTTATCACTTACTACGCGGTTATCACGACAAAAAAAAAAATTATGAATTACAGCGGCGTGTACGAATCGTGTTGAAACAATAGTAGGAGGTGATAGGGGAGATCGAAACGATCGCAGGATAAGACGTCCCGGAGGAATATTACGAAAGTCCAAAAGAAAATTACCTAGAGTGCTGAGAACGAAAAAAAAACAAAAAAAGGGAGGGAAAACGAAATTGTGTTATGGAAACGAGCGTGTGTTTGTGTACATATGAATTACATGTGTGTGTGTGTGTGTGTGTGCGTGTGTGTTTGTTGTGTATCCAACGGACACGGACGTCTACGGCATCAGCGGCGTCCACTCGGTGCACGCTCAAACAACACAACTGGTTACGAGTGTTACGACGCGCGAGTGATGTCACTATGACATCATGTGTCCGTGTAAATGGTTAACCTTAACCACTCTGCGAGCCGGTGACCTTGAGCGGTCGAGTGTGCGTGTATTAAAACTGCCGGCCGACCGGCGGGCACCTACCTAGTACCTACCTAAGATTATGATAAAAAAAAAAAATCGAACATTTTGTTATTTTACCCCTACCGGTCGACGCGACGTCCCGTTCGTCGATTACTACAATACGCGCGACGCGCTACTCGTTAGCGTATCCACGCTAAACACTGCTCAACTCCCGAGTGTGTACTTACAACTACACATACACAACAATAATAATAAAATATGATAAACACAGTACCTACTGCAGTACTACCTACGCCGCCGTCGACCGGTTCGATTTCATACCTACCTGTTATTCGTTAGACATTTTTTTTTTCCTCTCTTTCTGATAGCGACTCGGTCGCGAACTCCAGATAGTTGTATTCCCCGCGGTCTGGTTCGTCGCGCCGTCAGTAATGGACGTCGTAACTCATTATCCCCGAACTACCGACAAACCGCATTCCGATTTCCAAATTCCCAAGTCCGCGACCGGCTACCATGCCCACCGTTAGACATAGCCGGAAATCGGGACGGGGACCAAAACAAAACCGTATGATTTCTTTATCAATTATTCTATTATCACACACCAGACGTTGCGAATGGCTACGCACGTCGCCAACTACAAATTTCTTCAAACAATGATAACATTATTGTTATCATTTATATTCCGTAGTCCAATTGGTCGTTGTCAGCACAGCGCAGCTGTATTAAGCACGCTGTCAACTTTGTCCGAAGTATCAAAACTTAAAGAATGATACGTAAGTACATCACCAGGCAACGAAGTGTTTCTTGGCCGAAAATCATCATCGCATCGGGTTTAGGCGTTTTGGGCGGTGTGTACATTTGGAAACCGTTTTTCGAATCGTTAGATTCTGAACGCCCTCAAAAAACCAAGGTTAGTCAATTGATAACAGCATTAAGTGAAAGACCCGGCTAAATATACGTTCATTCTATGAAACCATCAATAAACTATACCTATTTTATGTAATTTAATTTGGGTTAAATATTGGATCCTCGTCTTTACTTTGAAATCAGTAAAACATTGTCTTTTTCCCCCAAAAGCCACTATCACATCATATTGGTTATTTGAAAAACTCCAAATGCTCTTTTACAATCCATATATCATATTAGTTATCATAGTTAGTATTTAGGGTTGGTTAGTTTTGCTCAAGTATTGAGAAGTTGCATCGATAAATGACATGTTGACAATCACACTGTTCAGGGTTCCTCTATACTCGCCGATAATTTTCAAAAAATGTCTGTAATTTCTTCAATAAAATAACATTAGACAGTACTGCTTTTCAAGTAAATATAATAATACTCCTAGTAGGTTTATAATCATCCCTGAAGTAATACCAACCCAGTTCCAGGTCTGTTGTCGATTCAAAAGCAGAAAAAAAAAAATGTTTATAATACAATCAATTTCAGTAATATTAATTGTCGTATGACTTATTTGTAATATTTTTATTGCCCTATTTACATACCTATATTTGATTTCCTAACAAAAATTATAATTAAGAAATAAAATAAATTTGAAACATAGTTAAAAACCAGAAACTATCCGTGTTTTCCTTACTTCTGCAAAACATTTTTTTTACGGAAAATATATCATTAGGCTATTCTTTTGAATGGTTTATATAAAATATTACCAAAATAAACAAAAAAAATTTTAAACTAAAACTGCCATTCAATATATCATATGTATTGGCTATTTATACGAATACTAATTAGTACTCATTTATAAAGTAATATTTATTTTATTACTGGTTATTCATTTATTATATTTTTGTCCCAATTTGTTTATAATAATGGATATTATTTAGTATATTACTTTAATTATTGATCAGTTTAAACCAATTATTTTATTTTATACATTTTTCCAGAATAATGAATAAAAATCCACGAACACTACAGCCAGGTGGTAACTTAAGAAGTAATTTCAATAAAATATTAGCAGTTGTTGGTATAGGATGGTTGGCATCCATGGTAATAGTTCGGTATGTGATCAAACCATGGAAATTAGAAACTCGAATGAAACAAAATGAAGCCATTATGAATCAACTTTATGATGAGCAAGTTCAACAAGAAATGGAAAAAGAAATATTGGATATATGAAAATATCATCTGATTATTTTAAATTTTTTTAAATAGTAGAGGCAATAATTAGGTTTATATATTTATTTGAAAATATTTTAAAAAAACTATATTTGTATAAATACTTAAAGTGCATTAATTATTAATGTTCTCAGAATGTATTTAATAAATTAAATTACTTTATTAAATGAATTATATTTATTCAATTTATTCTTTGCTCAATGAAAATATAGGTGAATTTTGGCTTCTTGAAATAAATTAAACATTGTAATGAGTATTTGAAGAATATTCATGTTGTATAAAACATCATGTGATGGACATACAATTAAATAAAATTAATTTAGCTATACCGATTTAGAGTAAAACATAGTATGAAACTGTTTTTAAGAATAATTACATGAAGGAAAAGATTATCTGTGCCCTATCATTTTTTTTTGTTTTCAAAGTCAAATTCAATTTTGTTTTTCAAACATTTGAAAAAAAAAACATAAAATTATGAAAATTTAAGATATACTTAAAAACTTTTCTGAATAATTTCATAAATAAAATAAAGACTCAAATAACCTAAATAAATAACCTAATAAAACACTTTCTCAATTTGAATGTATGTGTGGGGGGTGCTCTTAAACATAACATATTTATTATTTCATATTTTTATTACTCTCAAATCCTATTATAAAACTGAACTGCCTAAATGTAGTCTTATAAGTCTGTATAATTTTATTAAGCATTTGTTATTTCATTAGTAATTTAATAAAATTAGTTTATTAGTAGGGCTGTGTAATCAATGCATTTAAAGTATAAAAAAATGCTAAAATACTAAACGACAGTACCTAAATAATCTAATTATGTATACATATTTACTATCAATATGTCATGATTAATGTCTGTTATTAGATTTGTCGAAGCATGACAAAGTAAACATTGTAATTAATCGTAAACAGCTTTTGTATAATATTTTAAAATGAATATAAAGATAAAAGTATATAAGGCTATGTAAATTTAAACAAATATGTAATTCCTATAAAAAAAAAAGTATAATTGAACTAAAAAGAAAAAATGCAATATCAAAGTTCAAAATTAAAATTTATTGTTCTGTTTCAATCTTTGTTTAACAAAACTACTTTTATAATTATCTAAAAACAAACTTTAACTAAACTTCATTTAGTCGCTTTTTTTTACAATTTATCATTGCATAGGTACACAAATAATTAAAAATACTCAAGATATCCGTATCCTTCCTTTTTTGTAATGATCATAATATTATTATAATAAATTTATCAATATTTAATAATAACACTATCTAGAATCTTGATATTGTTATGATAATCTAGATCTAGATTCTAATTTATTATTTCTATTTTAATAACTAATAAGTGTAAAATCAATATTTCAGTAAACAGAGTAATAAACCATTCACTTTTAAAATCTGAGTGAGGCAAGGGATCTATTCATTTTACTATGTGTATTAATTTTTCTATCTGTAAAGAAATTTTCTCTTAGAAATCATGCTGCATTCAAAACATTACAAGAAACCTTTTTTGATGCATTTTTACTGTAGTGGGTACTTTGGATTGTTTATTTTTTGAAATTCTCATTAATATTCAAGATAATCAGTGTAGTCATTTTAATTTTTGAGAAGGGACAAAAGTTTTGACTGGCCAATAATAAAATTGAAAAAAACCACTCGCCAATTTATTTGTCACAATTAAATTACATTTTTATTTCAATACAAATATACTTATTAAGTAAACAATTTTATACTTACCTATTATCATAAACATGAATAATCCATTTCTTTTTTTTAGGGACAATGGTGGCTAAATAATAATTATATATGTAAAGGGATACCTAAATGTATTACCTATTACCTAGCTACAATATGAAGATTTAATTTGAGGTGAATTTTATCCAAATGTATATCCTATTTGCACCAATATTTGTTTGTTGTATTCTAGTAGTATACATGTATTTACAAAAAATTATAATCATTTCACCATAAACAATAGTATAATCCTAGAATAGACTTTATCCAAAAATTTATATTGGCTTTTATGGAAGCCCAGTAATTTGAACTTAAGTGCAATTGGTATTAACAAAAAGTAGGTACAAAAAAAATATTATAAAAGTACAATTATCACACTTATCATAATTATTAGCACAAAAATATCTTAAAAACCTGTAGTTCAGAGTGGCCTAGTGCAATATAAGTAAATCATAAAACATAATGACATGAATCATGTTTGCATGCTTGTAGGCCAAAACTAGCCAAATACCAGCCCATTCCCGGCCCGATAAAGGCCCACTGATTACAAGGGAGCCAATACTTTCTCTGCTCCTCCACAAATGACGCCATTGGTGATTATAAGGAAAAACTGGTTTTGTAAGTTAAAACAGGTTAAAAGATGAAAACTAAAGTTGACATTGGCAACCGTTTTTATTTATTTTTTTTAAACAATTTGTATTGTGAAAACGCACATTGTTAAAAAAAAATCCTTTTGACTGCGGTTCGCTCAGAATAGTTTTTCGTTATCATTGATTAATCGTTGCGTACACACATAAATTAAATTTCCTTCTATATCCCAACTTCCCCGGTATCAAATCTTTTTTGCTTTTGCTGTTGCATTAATATAGAAAGATACAATTAAGAATATAAAATTAGGTATGTAAAAAAAATAAAACTTGCGAGGGATTTGGCATTGGATAGAACAATTTAATTATTCAATTAAGGAATTAAATTATTCTGGATCACGTAATAATAATAGCACACCATAATATTGTTCCAAACATGACAAGTTTTGTATTTATAATTTCTGGCGAAATCTGGTGACCGTTTGGTATGATTACTTACATGAACAATACGACGGACGTGTTAATTAGATAATACCACGGTTAAACACGATGTTAACCGTAACTCGTAGTCAGATATTACACTAAAGTTCAGAAAATATTAATATATGCATCTATCTGTTACCTGTGTGGTGTTCATTTAGATGATATTTTTTTAACATCAACCACGTAAGTATATACGTACATAGGTTATAGGTATAATAATAAAATATGTCGTAACGCGTGTGCAAACAAAATACACTACGGTGCCTATACCTAATTATTATTACGAAGTATTGAACCACAGTGTAGGTATATTAAATACAATTTAGGTAGGTATGTAATTTCATAATATTTCCCGGTTGAACTCTGGCTTTTGGGTCTGAAGAAAAAATATATTTGGTAAAAACCTATTTCCCTCCTTAAATTTAACCAAGGCAACGTTGCATATCTGAAAATATTCCATAATATTTTATATTAGCAGGTACCTAGTGTGTTCGGAGAAAATAATATGATTTGATACCGTCTATAATAATTTATTATTGTCAAGCGTTAAATTTCGTAAAGTTCGATAATAATGTTCATCAAACAAATATAATATATATCATGTATTATAATTTATTTGTGACATCAGTTTGCGCAGCACAGTTAGCGGTGTTCAATAATAATTATTGAAGTGTTCCACCCAATATACAATAGGACATCGATATTTTTTCTAATTTATATAAATGTGTACAATATCCATTGAAGTTGAATGATTCTTTTAATCAATACAATATAATATTATCATTACTAATTCGTCATTGTACAGAATTAGGAGCAGTTTATTTCTGATTCCAAAGGCCAAACGGATACACCCAATCAAAAACTCCGATAAAATCGTCCGTCACGCACTCATACTGCATGATATTGTACAGTCTATTCACTCGCGAGTTACTCAATTTACTATACGGTTATTACCAGCGTATTCTCTTCAAACGTGCAAATCAACCACATTTCGTAGTTTCAACTCAACAGTTTCTAGCAACTACAGAATCAGCCTAGTAAAAATGGTAAGTTTTTTTATTGATATTGTAATTCGATTAATGATTATAAAATAAAATTACGTTTTTGAAAATAATAATTATAATAGACACGTATACATTATACGATTAATTTGGTATCTACTACTTGAATATTCATAATATTCATATTATAATATTATGTTTTCGCTTTATTATTGTTTATAACTATCAGATAGTTTCGGACAATATTAATTATTATGTGCACTATGCGGTGTAAATACGTTTAAAATTGTATGTTAGTAAATATTTGTACCTATCTGCCTGGTGAATTAATGCATTTTTAGTTTTAAAATTTAAAATTTAATTACCTACGTATAGGTATAGTAAAGGATTTATTGGAAATATTAATATGTACATTTTCAGTAACTAAGCCTAACGTTTTAACACAATTTAAAATCATCCGATTTGCTATAAATATTGAATAAGTTGAATAAAATATATTTTTAAAACCACGATAAAACCCACGACGTGTACCTATAGGTTACTTAATTGAATTATTGTTATCTGCATTTATTCCAATAATGGTTAATGTATAGGTATCATAAAATAATAAAGCCTTGATAGGTATCAAATATAATTTCGAAATGATTGGGTCCATTGGGGAAACACATTGTATTTTTAAGATATTTTCTAGATATTTAGTATTTATAAATAGGTACCTATTTACCTACAACCACCTGCAGACCTAGGTAATATATTATAAAATTGTTTTTAATTGAGGATTGAAAATGTCTTTAAATAAAATACGTATTTCTATTTCCTATATAATCTATCTGAATTACTTTTAAAATGTCACGTGTTTTATAGGTATCTCTAATTTCAATTGAACACTGTTGTAACTGGACACTTTTCCTAATTTTATACTCAAAACGAATTGTACATACTGTTTATAATAATAAATTAATAAATACCAACAAATTTCTGGCCGAGCAGATATCCACGATAATTCTATCGAATTATCCGTGCATTTTTTCTTTCAAATATAATGTAGATATTTTAGGTTTTGTTTTATGCTTGTGGTTTGTAGCTATACGAAAATAAGTTATTTTTCAATATATTTATATTTAATACGGTTTATGTAGATGTAGATTATTATTTGAGAATACCTACTTACTGAAACCTTAACTAAATAAACCGAAAATGAAGTCGTCAACGTGATAAATTAATATTATGTAATTATTATAAAATTAATGTCCAATTAGATAAAACGAATTCTACTTAAACCTATAGTAGACCGATATTAAATGATTATTATTATGATTTTAATAATCGTGAATAAATATTTAATTTTGAATTATAATCCATTCTAAATCTACCTATAATAATACAGTTATAATTATAAAAACTATTAAAAGTTGTTGGAAAATAACATGGATTACTTATGGCTCATTGAATGTATCAACAATTTAAATTCATTAATTTACATTATTAAAATGAAAATGATAAATACCCCTATTTTTGGTGAAAAAGTTCAAAATTTCTGAATAACTAAATGTTTTAGGTAAGTTTATTTGTTATATTAATAATTAATCTGTATGTTGTATGTACGTAAATGGATCTGCTGGTATGATTGTATATTTGTATGTAATGACATAGGTAATGATGACAATCACGGACATCCTCCCCCCCCCGGCTGTTTTTGGTGTAGTAGGACATGTTCCCGAACACATTTTTCGATGCCGATATTTTCATCAATAATAAAATAAAATAATAATTTCGCATTAAATAATACAATTTTATGATTTCCGAATGAAAACGTCCGCATCAAAAACTGTATCGTGGGAAGATGTCCCACTGGCTACTGCTAGAGTAAAGGTTGAGATGTAAACAATTTAAAAACTCACTGTCACAGGCCCTTATGGGCGTTGTATATTAAATTTGACGCCGAAACTTTTTAGTCTTGAGTCTTGACGAAAAACACCAGTACACCAACACAATAATATTAGCGACGACACTACTGGAACGAAACAGAAACATTACACAGTAGAATATAATTTGCTATACGCGGACAAGCTTAACACTCGCAAGTCGCAACCGAAGCCCGGCGAAAAATGAGCGAGAGTCGCGGAATCGCGGAGCTTCGAAGCTTCATAGTTGTCCACATCGAACCAATACACAAACGCGTTCTACGTATGACCGTTACGTTCTGGCAGAGCCGGATTGGCTACTGAGAAAATTTCGTTGGCCAATCGCAGTGCTGTGCTGTAGCCAGGGGTACACGGGACCCATGGAATTTTTTGTTTTATCAGTTATAGCAGTTATACAAAGTGTCCCAATGTTTTCCCAATACTAATATCTCTGTTAATATTGAATTGTTAATTTGAACCGGTCTAACCAAGCGTTATTCAGAATCAATTTTCTGGGAGGGGGTGGTTTTTTTTTTTAATACATGAACTCGTAATTAGTTTGTTATATTATAAATATATACCTACTTTAAAAATGTCGGAAGAGGTTTAAACCTCTAAAACTCCTTCCTGCCCACATAGCAAAATTCTTCCCGGGACGTCAATAGGACCATCTAAATCATGTCCTTAAGTCATCCTGACAGTATGTTCGATATGGCTATTATAAAGATGCTCTTAATACAGTCTCAAAAAACTCTCCTCTCATTAGTGTACCGAAAGGATATTGGTTATATTCTATTTGAATCTTTAATGGAATTTGCGAGGATGTACCTATAAACGGCAGTATATAGTGACATAGTGCGTTCTTATTGGTTGTAAGAGAACTAAATACGTGCTTGGGCTTATGTGTAATGAGCAAATCGTACTCCCGTATTATCATACCCCCCACAGTACGATATTGGGAAGGTAACAATAAGTCATTGTTAACAAAATACTATTCTAAGCAAAGTTTGATTAAAGTTTGTTTTACAATTTCGGAATTTTTAAATTTTTGCCAAAATTTTAATTTAAAACGCTAGTAAAAAAAAGTTACTACATACATGAAATTCAAATTTTTTTAACATGAACTTATAATGAATTTCGTGTAAAATTTCACTGTTTTTCTGTTTGGCCAAACAATTTTATTCACAAAAAACTAAAAAAAAAAATGTCAAATATCTATAAATAACCTAAAAATTAGCAAAATGTTTTGAAATTTTTCCTCTTCCAGAAAATATAGGTTTATTTGGTGATATTTAATTGATTCAAATAAAAAAAAATTTATTTTAATATAATGAAACACAAAAATTTGCAGTTATGAAAATTACTTTGAAAACACTTTTTTTTCCTTTTTGAGTTTTAGAATATGTATTTAGAAAGTGAAATTAGGTACCTATACCAATTATAGTGCTGTATATATATTAAAATAAAACTTTATATGGTTATTGTGCTTCAATTGGAAATAAGGAATTTATCAGAAACCTTGTGTGATACCTATTCAAAATTGCTTTTTCTTTTTAGAAAATACAAAGAGGAATTTTGACTTTTAAAGGAGTTTATTTTAGATATTTTTTAATCTCAACAGACATAAAATTTCAATATTTTACTGGTTTAGAATGTTTTTTCTTATGTGTATAAAAATAAAAATAAAATCATAATTACTCAACTATATAGGTTTTGAATAAATTTGGTGGTTTTTGTTATCTAAATTTGTTGTTTATATAATAATATATTTATTTATTATCTGTAATATTAAAATATTATGTGTAAATATATACACAAAAAAAAAAAAACTTGTACAATGTAAAGACAGTTAAAAATAAGTATGTATGGAAAACAAAAATAAACAGCCTATTTTATCTTGAACAAGATAATTAGTTTAAAGAAGTCATTTTTCGATTTTCACAAGAGTTTACCCAGCAAATGTGAAAAACGTAGAAAAATTAGGAAAATCAGTACAACATTAAACAAATATACTATTAAAGAAAATATAAAAAGCCTATTTAGTTATTTTATATAAAATTACATATATATTGTTGACAAAGCATCACTATCAACTAAACTCCGCTCAGAATCGTTTTTTCATAAATAATGATTTATCATTGCTTACAGGTATACATTAAATTATCTATTCTATCACTATCCTAGGACGTCTTTTTAGTTTCATTGTTTATATATTTGATTAAATCGATTAAAGTTATTACCAATTAGTATTAAATAGTATTTAAAATGCAAGGTACAATCAAATATAATCTATATATAAGTACCCAAATATTACATGTGATTATTATTTAATATTTACTATATTTTTATTTTAAAAATTGTTAATTTCAGCGTGAATGCATTTCTGTACATGTTGGTCAAGCTGGAGTTCAAATTGGAAATTCTTGCTGGGAGTTATATTGTTTAGAACATGGCATTCAACCTGATGGTCATATGCCGTCTGAAAAAGCTAACGGTGATGATAGTTTCAATACTTTTTTTAGTGAAACTGGTGCTGGTAAACATGTCCCCAGAGCTGTATTTGTTGACTTAGAACCTACTGTTGTCGGTAAGTTATATTAAGTTTTTACATACATTTAATTTTTTTAAATATTCATCTTTTTATGCATATTTTATTATCTACTAAATAATAATATGTAATTATACATACTTGATTTAATTCCAAACATTTTTTTGCATTTATAGATGAAGTACGTACGGGTATATACAAACAACTTTTTCATCCAGAACAATTAATAACTGGCAAAGAAGATGCAGCTAACAACTATGCTCGTGGTCATTACACTATTGGCAAGGAAATTGTTGATGTTGTTCTGGATCGCATTCGTAAGCTTTCTGATCAATGTTCTGGTCTCCAAGGGTTTTTAATATTTCATTCGTTTGGTGGTGGAACTGGTTCTGGTTTTGCATCATTGCTCATGGAGCGTTTAAGTGTAGATTATGGGAAAAAAAGTAAACTTGAGTTTGCTATCTATCCGGCACCACAAGTAGGCATGCTTAAAAAGTAATATAGTAGTTATCAATTGTTATTAATATATACAAATTATTCTTTAGGTATCTACAGCCGTAGTTGAACCGTATAATTCTATTTTAACTACTCATACGACTCTTGAACACTCTGATTGTGCTTTTATGGTCGATAATGAAGCAATATTTGATATTTGCCGACGTAACTTGGATATTGACCGACCATCTTACACCAATTTAAATCGTCTTATTGGACAGATAGTGTCATCAATCACAGCTTCATTACGATTTGACGGTGCTTTAAATGTTGACTTGACTGAATTTCAGACCAACTTGGTTCCGTACCCACGAATACATTTTCCTTTAGTCACTTATGCACCAGTTATATCAGCCGAAAAAGCCTACCATGAACAATTGTCTGTTGGGGAAATTACTAATGCTTGTTTTGAACCAGCCAATCAAATGGTCAAGTGTGATCCTCGACATGGTAAATACATGGCTTGTTGTATGTTGTACAGAGGTGACGTAGTGCCTAAAGATGTGAATGCTGCTATTGCTGCCATAAAAACTAAACGCTCTATTCAGTTTGTGGATTGGTGTCCGACCGGTTTTAAAGTGGGTATTAATTACCAGCCACCTACAGTTGTGCCAGGCGGTGATTTAGCTAAGGTCCAACGTGCCGTTTGTATGCTGTCGAATACAACTGCTATTGCCGAAGCATGGGCTCGTTTGGATCATAAGTTTGACTTAATGTATGCTAAGCGAGCATTTGTTCACTGGTATGTCGGCGAAGGGATGGAAGAAGGTGAATTTTCAGAAGCCAGAGAAGATTTGGCGGCTTTAGAAAAAGATTACGAAGAAGTTGGTTTAGACTCAGTTGATGAAAATTTCGAAGAGGAAGGAGAAGAATTTTAATATTATATAAAAAATAAAATATTCCAAAATACCATTGTGTTTTTTTTTTAATTATAGGCTAATGTACATTACACAAGTGAACATATTGAATTACCTATTTTATAAATACAATTATTTTATGAATATGTACCTACATTATTTCAAAAACAATATTTTATTTTTTATTTTATGGTTTATTTTTTTTTTCAAAATAATAGTTACAACTTGGTGAATTATTTATGTAATATGTATATACCTATAAATTAATATTTTGTTATTCAGTTTATTGTGTAATATTATGTGCTAACAGCTTAACCATAATTTTATTTTTCCATGAGTATTTACTGTTTTTGATTTAAAAATACCTATTTATATTTTAGTAATTAAAACTACAACGAAAATCAGAAACTGACCTCAATACACCAACTAGGTCCAAAGTTTTAAGAAAAATATAGCCATTTTTTATTAAAGCAAGATTTCTGGTAGAACAGTTGTTCAGAAATATAAAAAAATGTATATACACATCATATCAAAACCAACATTTCTTTATATCAATTCAACTCGGCCTACAATTTAAGTTTTAATTTGGAACAAATAAAATATCAAATATTAATGGATCCCATTAATAATATAACGAAATCTCATTATATTACTGATCATACCTACTCTTATTATTGCTAAAAAATTACAACATGACAATAAATCTATTAAAATATTTTAAGCTAATTAAGTAAAGGTATCTTACCTTAAAAAGTCTTTGTGGACATTTTAGAATATTTAATTATAATTTATTATAACTTTAAATTTTACTGAAATTATATATTCAAAACACTAAAATTGGTGAAACAATATTATATTATATTGGTAAACTATAAACATCAACAATATCTATGATTACATACCAACCTACATTATTTAAAATATTAATTATTTTAATTTATTAAAAGAAATTATAGAATATCTATCATCAATACATTTGAAAAATGTACAAATATACACTATTCCAAACACAATGAAAATTTTTAAAATTCTAATTAATATTCGTGATAATGAGGAAAACCTTGGTGTTTAGGTTAAAAAGATGGAAAGATTAAAAATAAGGTTGTCACTGTTTTTATTGTTATTACTAAGTTTTTATTATTTCAATTTTTTTTCTAACAATCGTCATGAAGACGCACGTTGTTGTAATCATTTTACCATAATATGATATATACGATATATTATATATTGTATTGTTGACAAAGTAACACTATCAACTTTAACTACACTCAGAATTAATTTTTCGTTAGCAATGGTTTATCATTGTTTATAGTTATACATTAAATTTCCGTTAGTATTCTATCTTCCAAAAATCGTAAATATCAAAATATGAATAAGTAATCAAACATCATTTTCTGATAGTAATGATTTATCGTTTGTTACAGGTATAAATTAAAAAACTTTAGTAGTATACCACCTTCCCAACTACCCACCTAACATCGGCTCTCTTTTTTTTTATTAATAAGTAGGTACGTAGGTACGTACTTATTAACCTACAACTTATGATAAAATTACAATTATATTTTGTGAACAATCAGTAGGTAAGTTATATTTCATAGGGTTTGGAAATTATTGCACTTAACTGATATCACTTAATATAATCACGAGTATCTACACATACTATGGTTAATTAGAACAATTATGAAAATATTGAATGAAACATAAGACGTCCTAGAATGGGGTACGGTACAACCATTGTTATGGCCTATAGGTAATTTAATGTATACCTGTAAGCAACTATAATTTATACCATTTCTAGGGAAAAAATATTAAAAAAGTGTTTAAATTAACCAATAGTAAGTACATACTTCCATTGATTTTATAATATATAGTATGCAATTTATACTTAATATGACTTAGTGGCGGTCAATAATGATTTTGTCATGGAGAGGACTAAGGATAATTTTTAAATTATTATTGACTAAAGTGCAATATGATATGTATTATTATAAATATTTAAGAAAATATGAAAATGGGGGATACATCCCCCACATTCTTTCCGCGTTGACACTCATGATTTGATTTGATTTTATAGTTACACATTATACAATACTAACCACGGTTATCTCTACAGTATAAACCTTAATATAATAATAATAAAATTGATAATAAATGATAAACGCACTCTAACGGTAAATATATTAACTAAGTGTATTGTAATTATTTACTAGAGGGCGGTGTTTATACTGCGATCGTATTAGTATATGAAAATGGGAAAAATTAATAATAATGGGACTAACAATGTAAGGAGTAGAGTGTTTATTAGTTTTTTCAAGAGCTGTCTTATAAAAATCTAAAGTACCCATAAGTTAAATCAATTAAAAAACAACAATAATTAAAAAAGAATGTGAAGTAAAAAGAAAACAAAATGTGAACGTAATGTTTTTCAGTTTTAAAATTAATCTGATGAAATATTTAAACTGCTGATTGGCTGAAACGATTGCACCCTCTGAATATATGGATTCCTTTGTTCTCTGGATCTTTATTTATCTATTTACTGTAAAATAAACGTATATAATAGAATTAAAAAAAAATGTTCTATCGATTATTACTAAAATAACTAATTTTTAAATTGTTACCAACAATCAATTCAAATACATCATAGTAGTGTTCTTTTAAAAATTATACTTTTCAAATGTATTTTAAGTACTGATGGTACTTTTGCTCCATCAAGTGTTTTTTGAAAATATTATTTTACAATACCCATTTTCAATTTTCAATTATATTTTTATAGGGTTTTTACTTGGTAAACGTTTTTTTAGATTTTTCAAAAATTCACTAAAGTCTGATACTAGGGTTATTATAAGTCATTTACATATAATATATTATATACAAGTAGTACACAAATATTGGATGATGTTTTTTCGTAAGGATTTGAATTTTTAAAGTTTAATTATGGACAAAAACTGTAAAAACCATGACATTTTGCAAAGGTAGGTAATAAAAATTGTTTGATTTCATAAAAATACTCAGCAGTTTGAGACACAAAAACACGGACATTTGTAATTTATTCTTAAGCTTAGTATACTTAATCAAATTGTCAATGGAAGTTTGTTAAAACATGTTTAACTGAACTTCATTCAAAATCGTTTTTCATTAATAATGATTTATCGTACAGATATAAATCAAATTACCATATAAATCTTACATTTCACATTTTTACTTTTACGTTTATGTAGTCTTACCGGATACCAGGGGTGTCATTATAAATTTCACATTGGATGCAAAACCTATAGGTACTGAAAATTAAAATCAATTTGAAATCTACTCGCGTTTCATATTAAGCACGAAATCAATAATTTCTATACTTAAATTTATTTTTCAATCCTAACATATTCAAATATATAATAGCATAATACAATTCAAAACGTAAGTATTTCAAATTGATTTCAATATTGATTACCTATTTATTTTATAAGTATTATCCAAAAGTATACAAAAGTTACTTACCTATCTAATACGTTTATTATAAGAACTACTAACAATATATTAGGTAAGTATGTATTGTTTAATAAACTTCTAAAAAAAGTTCATATGTTTAAACCCAGAAAAGAAGATGGTTATTTTTAGTATTTTAATCGAGAAACATTTGTTTAGAGATGAGAAAAAATTCTGTCAATTTTTCAGATTATTTTTGAAGACATATCAAATTTTGAAAACGCGTCTCAACTGCTTCTGAAGCGGTCATGGCCGCGCGGCCGCCGCAGTGTTGGGAATCGGCTACATCAAAAATAGGTAAAGAAGTCTGCGCGGCCAAAATGCGAGTCGCGCCGTGCCGATCGCGCATCCCTAGACGCGTCCTAAAGAATCACACCTTTAGGTAGTAACAACTCAACAATAACTATAGGTATTTTAAATACTAAAAGTATAAAAATATTTAAATACGTAAGTATAAAATTACGAGTAGGTACCTACAACCTACCAATGTCCTGGAATTTAAACATTAAAAAAATTCAAAAGTACTATTATAAAATAACCCTGTAATTGGTGTAAACCAAATGAAACTCAACCATATTATATCAATAATAGATTTTTATCAATAAAAAATATATATAAAATACGATGCAGGTACAAAATATCAGCAATGCACTGACTTTTTAACATTTTTAATACAATTATTCTACAAATTATTAAAAAAAAAAAAAACAAGTGAACAATAAATGAGTTACAATAATCTTATGGGTTGTTAAAAATAATATCTTATATTAAAATCATTGAGTCTATTATTATAAAATCCATGGTTTTTAGCATTGTTGTATTTGAAAACGTTCGATGATAAAAGAGTAGGTAGTCAACTACTGCCTGCGGTGTAGTTCAAGGAATAATATTGTTGTATAAGTTATTTGTACATCGGTAACATCAAGTATGACTTAGGTATAGAATACAAGGGTGCCTATAAGGAGATATTTAGAGGGGGATAAACCAAAGGGAGATGCCCCCTACTAAGAGAACATCGAGTGAACTCCATTGCGTAGGTACCTACAAAGCATATTGTCGTAATAGACAATACGACAATACCTAGTATAAAGTTTAAAAATCTAAAACTCATCGACATCGCCATGAATGAAAATGGGTACCTAATTGAATCTACTATTAACAAGGTTTTAATCACTGTTAAATCATAAACGTTGAATAAACCCGTACTGACATTTTTATTCCTGGCAGATATGTATAATATTATACTTATTTACGTAAACCTAATTAAAAATCCAGTACGTTAGAGAATCGTATACTGAAAGAGGGCGCTCGAGGGACGTGACGAAAACCGTATCACGGTTGTAATAGAATTGTGGTACGAACAAAAAAAAAAAATTAAGATTTAGTTTTTTTAAACAACAATAAGATAGTGTAACTGGTTGAAGTACCAACCGCGAATTGCCATCAAAATTGTATGGTTACGTATTCATATATCTGTTCACTATAATCACAATTTATAACAATAATGCCCGTTCATTAAAATGAATAATTATTATTTTCGAAACTGTGAAGATGTTGAATAGGGGGGGGGGCTGTCGTTCGGAAACGATCAGAAAAATTATAATGATAACCGTCCTAAAGAATAATTTCAATTTTCAATACCTATATTTTAATATAAAATACCTACTGGCTACTATATTCAAATGTAAAATTGCTTTGGCCATAGACAAAACGAAGGGAATAGAAGAAATTAATCACAAATAAACCCTTATTATTTATGCAAAACTACGTAGGGTTAGGTTAGGTTTAATTTGTGTGCGGTATGTTAATATGTGACCGGGTCGTGTTACCGAAATCTTATCATACCAAATTTAATCTGTGATCATGTGATAATAATAATGATAAAATAAAAGTTGATTGATTAGGCTATTCTCCTTGGCAGTTGTAGTAATCAATATTTTTTATATTTCTATTCGACAGGTAGCGCTAGCGGCAACCGGCCATTTCCTTTGTCGTTTTCATCGTTCTTGCTGCGATTTTCCTCAACTTTTTTTTCTCACTCTGCTCGCCGCGACCGTTGTTTTGGTTTTTCTTGTTTATATTATTTTCCGCTCAATTTCACTCGTGTATTGTCATTGATTAATGTGTCATAATTGCTTCGACAAAATTTTCTTTCCAGAAGCCAACAACGACGGTCCGGTGTGTTTATGTGTATTTAAATAGATACCGTTTTTGAGTTTCCGATCTGTTGAACAAGCTGGCAGGTAATAGCAATCAATCGTTTTTGGAGGAGAAGAAACAACTTACAAAAATACTGTACGAGTTACATATCAGCAAATATCTCAACCTGGCTCCTCCACTTGCAAAAAGGTAAGTCATCATTATTTCGTTTATAATATACCTACCTACAACATATCTACCTAACTCCCGCCATATAGTATTTACTTTCTGTCTAATAATTTTGGTACTATCTCCTCTTTTTAATCGTATCCATAAATCATTAGTTCACAGTTTTATTCACAAAATACCTACTTTATGTGTAATGGGTTTAATATTATAATTATATGATTGACTGTAAATACAATATTGTTTAAATTAGGTACCTACACAATTGAATATTAATAGATATATTTAAAAATTATCGTATGTATTTTGTTTTTATTATATAATTTATAAATTTAAAATTATATAATCCAACATTCTTATGAACTTGGTAGGTTCATCTTACATATTTTCATCAATGGATTATTTCTACTTTATTCCCATATCTAGTATTCTAATGCTTAATATTAATATCTGTTTGTTAACGGACATATGTACCTATCACTCAAACTGCTTAATGATTATTATATAATATTTATATTTTTTGAAAATGTTATATTTGTAGGTTTTGGTTATTGAGAGATAGAATTAATTATTCCTTATTTTATCACCCTATCATTATGTCGCAGGTTAATGATAAAATCTACAATTTTTCAAAGTGACATACTGACATTATATAATGTACCTAATCATTGTCGTACAGTTGATTACATGGCATTGACATAAAATACTAACTTTATTACTAGTACCTATGTTACTCAATAACAAGGACAATATGTTATTGTTAATTTTTTTTTAACAAACTTAGTTTTAAAAACAATTTTAAGATCTTAAAATATATGAACAGTTTTTAAAGAAAATCATAGATATTTATGTAGTTTTTGCTTTTTAATATAATTTTAATTTTTTATTAATTTCACTTTAACATAAAAAAATGAAGAAATTGATTTATTCAACAGTAGGTACTGTTAAAACTTTAAAGCAAAATAGGGTGATTTTAAAGTTTTATCACAGTAAATGCATCATGCATGAATTAATATTATGACAATTATTATTGTTTTATACTGTAGGTATTATCATGAATATTCAGAATATTAGTAATAATAATTGAAATAAGAATAAAAAAAAACTAATTTTATCATTATAGGTATGTACCTATTTGTGTATAGATAAGTAATTTAATAGTAAATGTTATAATGATTAGTTTAATACCTACCTACTTTAATAATTAATACTTTGTAAGATTGATAGGTACCTATAATGCATAATTTATCATATTAGATATTGTATGATGAGTGTTACTTTTAATTAAAAGTTTTAACAAACTGTTAATACCTAGTTTATGATTTATACATTAGACTAATATATTATGTTATTGGTCATTTATATTACCTATGGGTATGTATTTATAAGTTCTTCAGACTCAATATTATAATTTTTTAAATTGTATTAGTTAAATATAATAATTGATGCATATGATCTAAGTGATTAAATTTTTTTCTTTATAAAACTTAATTTACTTAATATGTTAGAATCTAACTTAAACTTAACTTAAAATGTAATTATTGTAACAATAAAAGTAAATTAAAAAATAATGTTACTACTAAGTACTTACCTTTATTAGGTAGGTATATGAAAGTACCTATATAATTATAGAAAATAAATAAATATGAAGAAAAATTCAGTTTAGAATACTGTTATAAAATTTAAACAACTTATTAGCTAAGTATAGATAGACTAATAATGAGGCTATTAAGTTGTTTATATTTTATAATAATACTCCAAAATATGTTTTTCTTCATATTTATTTATTTTATGTAATTTTATATTTTTAATATATTTTTGTGTATTAAGTAACCTTTAAAACCATTATTTTTAATATTTTAATTATTTATTATATAAATTAAAAACGTGTTTTGTATTATAATAAAAATTTTAAACGTATTTATACAAAAATTATGTAGGTATGTTTAGATATCAAAGAGTAAGAATAGTAGAAAATAGTATCTACCTACCGATACTTATAAGTTATAACTTATGTATTGAAGTGCAAAGAGTCTGTTAAGAACTTATATATATGTATGTATGAATACAATTTTGTTTAATTAACAGGTTTCAACTGTTCTAAGTTTGAACTAAGTTGAATTTAATAGTTTCATCAAGTAAAACCTTTGACTTTAAACCATTTTCGTTCTAGGTACTCAAATATATTTTATTGACTGTAAACCCTGCTTATTGAAAACTATACTTAAATTGCATAGGTAATTATTATTATTAGGTAGGACTTAATAGTTTTGAGTTGAGGTTGAGTTTTTTTTTTTTCAAATGTTTTTGTAGATTACTACTAAGCTATATATCTATTGTCATGTTAATGTTGACTATATAATAATGAGATGCATTAAAAACTAATTGTTAGGTGCTGTCCATCAACAGATTAAAGTATTAAACTATTAAAGATAACGTTTATTACCTATTGATATTACCTACCTTGTGAGCTATCCGAGGAGGTACCTTTATAATTTCTTCAATTTAAACTGAAATCTAAACAAATATAATTAATTTTTATATTGAGGGATGCACTAAGTATGAATTTTAAATTTTAATTGTTTAGGTTAATTGTAAAGGAAAACATTAACAGTAAATTAGATATTATTTTAAAATAAATTTTGTTTGAGCAATGATCTATACCCGTTCATACACACAAGTGCATGAATATTGTTTTACACAAATACTTACAGGGCTGATATAGTTGAATTTAGTTTAACTATAGAATCAAATATTAGTTTGTATTATTAATTATTACGAATCTATAATTAAAGTAGGATTTGGTATAAATTACCAATGCATTATTTTATTTTATATTAGTTTTAGTTATATAACGGGTTGGACCCAAATATTTATTACGTAAAAAGATGCATGAAATATAATATTTTATAAACAATATTTGGGTTCTGAGAAGTTCTTATTAGCGAGGTTCATATCAGAGAGGGTTATTGGTTATTAAACGCATAGTTGATGTCTAAATTAAGAACTAAAAAAAAGATGCAACTTTTTTGTGGAGAACAAAAAAATATATCCCAGTATGTAATGTTAGTGAGTCTAATATAGAATCGTTTTATTCTTTCTTTAAAAGTATTAGATTTGTTTTCTATGTTCTACCAGTGAACTGTAATCCAAATGGTTTGCAATTGAAGTATTTATACTCTATTCCAAATAAGTTTGCTCACATTTCAAAAATGGGATCGCTTTCACATTCATTTTGTTGCAAACAGTAAGCGCTGTAGTTGACCATCATCATATTACAATAGCACTCACTGTTGGCAGCAAATGACAATGGTCATGTACTCATGCAAATGGTTTTTTGTAAATTTGTGCAAATTTATTTGGAATAGATTATAGTCATTGTCAGGGCCTAGGATAAACTTAGAATAGCAAAAGAGTTACGATATACGTGCTTCAGTTTACAAATATTGTACACTTTGTAAGGGTACCTACCTTAAAATTTAAGTCATATTCAAAAATAGAATAGACAAAGCTGTATAAAACTGATAGAAAAGGATTGATACAATTTAGTTGCCTTAAATGATAATACTTTTACTGTTTTTAATGTTAGTCAAGTGTATACATGTAAATAGTAAATATGTAACCTATACATTTCAAAATAATTTTAATTTTTAAAAATATAGCCTATATGTTTCTTCTATGCAATTTTATTTTGTTTTAATTTTTATATTATTTTAATATTTTTATCATTTTTAAGAAGGTAAAGGAAGTACTGGTACCTAGGTTTTATTGAGTTATGTGTAAATAAAATGCTACTTAATAGGTGCTTATAAACATTTTATGTTTATATGTACTTCTGATATAATGTAAGAGACTGTAGGGAGCCAGATATGTACATTTTAAAATGTATTTGTATTCTTTTTTTTTAACCAATATTATAGGTAAATGTTTTAGCACTTAATGTCTACTATTATCCAGTTCAGATTTCCTCAATATATATTACTCGTCGGCATATTCTGAGTGTTTACAAGCCTTCTGTAAGGCCACGGTTAGCTAGTTTTTATCATGTTGGCAGTGTAAGTCCAGTTTAGCAGGTTTGTTATTGATCAAAAGTAGGAATAAAAACCTAGCTGCAAGATCATGATTACCATACTTCCTTGTGGTTTCACATGAGCTGTTAAACTTGTCGAGTTCACCTTGAAACCGGTAGCTTATTCATTATAATATTTTACTCGTGTTCACATGTACACAGTTCATTAGAATTGTAAGCAAATATTGACTAATAATAGTCAACTTAACTTAAATATACATTGTTTATTCTTTTTAAGTAGTTAAATAAACAATAAAGTAACAAATTCACATTATTGTGTTTTTTATATTGCATTACATAAAACTCTTCTTCTTCTTCACCTTAATCCCACCCAAGTAGAATCAATTACTCTTTTTCACATCTATTCAACACATAATTATATTATTATATAAGACAAATTCAAAATTGATTATAGCATCTTTATAAAATTGTGTTTTAAAGTTAATTCCAATCTTGAATTTTTATGATAGCAAAAATATTAAAATATTGTAAAGTTTAAATAATTCCTAATTTATTTATACTTGTATTCATACAGTAGTGTATAACTACAAAGTTTAGTTCAATAATCAATAATGCATATATACAGAAAACCCATATGAATTTATCTATGTGGTTCTTATTTTAATCATATTTATTATAATCTTCTTGAATGTATACATAATATATATTGTTAAAAATAGATTTAATGAAATTAATAACTTTTTGTCCGATTAGATTTTTAATAATTCATATATATACACAATATTCATTGCATATGTAAGTTTTTAATCTTATTGTGTTCAATTTTGTATTAAAATAACTTAAATTATTTTCTAATAGTAAAGTTGGTGTTTTTCGAATTGAATACTGCAGGATACGATAATCGATTTGTTATAAGTATTATTTGGAAATGCAAACAATGCTTGATGTTGTTAGGCCGATCAATTACAATCGCAACATATTGTGTGAATTATAATTTCTTATCTAAACTGTATAATAATTATAACACATTGTAAAAATAGCCCATTTAACGTGGGCTTCCACCCGTCATATTGTAATAAATAAAACTCTTGATTTAAACGGCGAACGAGGTGGCGAATAACTTATAAGTTTTCTAATACCATTAATACTTATATCACAACATTCAACTATTGTCGAATGTTGAGCTGGCGTATTACACTGGATCGACACCGGTCGATTGACAATATACTGGGTTATGTCAAACGTGTTGTCGATTTGCAGACGTACTAATACATACGTTCGTCTTTTATAAAAACTATTTTTTTTTATCTTCCAGACCCACGTCATCAGTTCAATATTGTTCGTCGTGCAATGTAGTTCAATTTATTTCATTTATTTATTCATAATTAGTGCGAATATTTTTAGTAATTTTCATTAAACATTAATTAATACATTTCAGCGGTCATTACATTCAAAAAGTTCAATGAACCAGTGATTTTTCTTTTAGATGACACCACCTAGAAAATTGTCAATAGTTTTTCCTTCGACGTATACCACGCGATTGTTGGTCTAGTTTCCTTTGATTTTACCGACTTTTTGTCGATCGACACAAATCCCGATCGACAAATAAAATTGACATGCTAGTCGAACAGAAGCAAATATCGAACCAAAATGTCGATTCAGTGTAAAACCAGTATTATACGACTGGATCGTCAATAATCGATCTGGTTCAACATTTAGCGAATTCCGTTCAACTAGTGTATCAATTCTAGTGTATCTATACTTCTCGATCGACAGAAAGTCCGTAAACATCAAAGGAAAGTGATGAACAACCTAACCCTGTGGTATACAATTAAATTAGGTATTTTTTTTTTTTAAACGTTGAACGTAATAATTTGTAGATTCATGTAATAGTAAATTTACAAATAAACAACATGTTCAACACAAAATGCTATTTGTCGATTTATCGATGTCGATCCAGTAGAATACCGGTTTCAGATTTGTATTTAAGATGAATTGGTTTTACAATTATGTTTATTTTTATACTGTTTCCAAAATTTCTATCAGAAATCTTGCCCTGATGTATCAGGTATAGTAACTTTTTGAAAGGAAATTCTATTTAGTCATTTTTTGATTTTCCAGCCAGTTTTCATAATTGGGTAAAAACATATGAAAAACATGGGGATACACGGACTAACATTTACGGCACAGCGTAATGATTCCATGATACTTTGTGGATAAAATTGTTAGATCAAACAGAAATGCTTGAACATTTAACAAGTGGTTTATAATAATTCATACTTTATGGCCAAAAAATCACGTATAACCGAATTCCTCTCAGAATCGTTTTTCGTTAACAATGATAAATCGTTGCTTATAAATATACATTGAATTCCCTTCTATATCCTATCTTCCCAACTTCTCACCTACAACAATGGCCCACTAATCGTGCGTAGTATGTCCGTCTTTTTTTAAAACAAATTGCATAATTTTGTTATTTAATATAAATCGCTCTTAAATTTCGATCAATTTCTTTTGATTTTATTGACGTGCGTGTAGAAACAAAATGTATTAATTGTATTTTTGATAAAACCTCAAGCAAAATAATTTGCCCATATAGTTATTAAGTAGGTATTTCAGTGTTTTCGAACGATTAAACCATTAAAAGATCTGGTCTTATATATGTTTTTTTAAATCTAATTAACTTATTGATGATTATCTGAGATTCGAATTTAGATAAATTTGTCCTAAATTTTTTGTATTTTTTATACAAAAAATTATTGTATGCAATGCTCAACTGTTAATTCTATACGATTTTATGTATGTTTTTTTAAGATTTATCTGCCCTATATTTACTCGTCTGTATAGTTGACTTAACCTAGATTACAACCCGTGATTACACCTAGATAAATAGATACATGTCTACCTATATTCTCATGTAACAATAAGAAACTAAAATTAACACTTGTGAAATATATTTCCAATATTATATTGTTATAATATTATAAGTTGTAACAACTAACAATGCTGTGTGAGTAGGTACAAAAATATTAACATAAGCTTGGTTGTTGTTACTTGTTAACAATATTGTGTAGGTACCAAATATAAAGTTGGTGGAAAGTTAAGATACATTAATTTATTAATATTATACATTGAATTTATATCTAAGCAATTTGTAATGTAGTTAGTATTTTATAAACTTTGTAGCCTTTTAGGTTTAATTTTTTACAAGTCTTAAAAGTCATGGCATTTCAAAATGTTTAACTGAACTTCATTCAAATTTGTATTTTGGTTTTGTCTTTTTTAATATTCCATATAGTATTCTTAATAACTAGGAGAAAATACAAGTAAAACGGGAAATTAATGTTTCATAATTTTCCATTTTTTTAAAATATTTATAATTTTTATAAGATTAAATTTTTATAAAAGTCGTAAATATGACTGTATTTAAAAATTTGTATAACCGAACTACGCTCAGAATTGTGTTTCGTTAGCATTGATTTATCGTTACGTACATATATAAACTAAATAACTTAATGGTATCCTATCATCCCAACTTCCTACCTACAACAGTGGCTAACCAATCAGCATTGATGCATCTTTAACACGATTAAATCTTTATTCGTGTTCTTTAATGACGTTTCGTATTTAATGTTTACAATATTTCGACACCAGGAGCGCTACCGCTCTATTTTTGACAGCTGTTCCAGGGTGTCATTTTATAAATCACTACGGGACACTATTAATCATAGGTCGTTGTACAACCTGTAAATCTTAAATCGTGACTACGATATGGCAATATAATAATAGATGAAAGGAGGAAATATATCTTGAGGAGATTTCCTTGTTTAGGTATTGAAAGTGGATGTGAGATATATTTTAGTAAATTTCAGTTAAACAAGGGGTTGAACATGTTCTGATAAATTCAAATTAAAAATTATATTAATTATAGTTTTTGGCCGGCACTAGTGGCACCTCTACACGACCACCCCAATCTCCGCTACTATAATATCACGACGTTCCGTGCCGCTTTATACGAAATTTCGTGACTTAGAAATATAAAATGTTTAAATAAATATTAGGCAATGTAACATTTTAGAGTTGCATATTTCTGAAATGTTTCTAAAATTAAATATCAAAAAAAGTTTATCCGATATATTCTGTATCTTGCGCTATATTGATTACTCTGAATATTTATACCTATTGTTTTTATCAGAATTTTGGTTATTTTTTTTTTTATTAAATAAGGTTTTAACATGAACTTTTGTTATTTTGTTGAATTAAATTGCAGTAAATGCATAGTGCCATTGATTTTATAATAATTCTATCTAAAATCAATGCTACTACCTACCTATATACCGCTATATTTACATTATGATTATAGATGGTTTTGCTGATGATTTGACTAGTACAAAAAAATTGTTATTTTTATATTATATACTACCTACTTATACTCCTTCTTTATATTCATATTTAATAACGATTAAGTACGAAAGTTTTATTAAAATAATATTGATTGATTTACTTATACATTCTTAGTTTAATTACTAGTTAGGTATCGTTTTTGAAATAATTTATTACCAATAAAAAAATT